AAGTAAATCTTCAGTAAATGTCAGCTATGATGTTATGATGACGATAATGATTGATGACAACGGTGATTACTTAAACAGACAGAAAAACCACAACTGTACAAAAACTAAGTCAATTTTTATTTTAAAATATACTTTAAGATATAAATATATGTAAGAAAATACACTTCAGATATTAAATTTCACAATGCCTGTTCTATATTGGTTTAATGAAGCTTCACTTTGAAAGTATTCAAATGTGATCATAGCAATCGGACTTAATCTAAAAATTTCAATCTAAAAAAAATCCTCCTGTGAAAAAATAATTAAAAATCCTAACATGATAATATAGGTCCTTTCTCTCATGACTCAGAAGTGCATTAAAATAAATTTACTTATGGTACAAAAATAAAAGGTTAAATATGACTATGTTGTATTAAAATGTTTCATATGGAGAAAAAATTAGAATTTCTGGCATTTTAAATATGGTATTATTCTTCATCAGCCATGCACTGAAATCTCAGAGTAAGGAAAGGGCCAGACCAATACTGAAAGGTTTCAAATATCAAACTATACTATTATGTCAGTGCCCTAAGATCAATTAGCACCTTTCAATGACAGAAAAGGTTACAGTCAGACTCTGAGGTGCACTCTCTGAAACTGTTTTAAACTACCATATAAATGTGGTTTTGATAACTCAAAATGGTTTCTATTTTTAAATTAATCTGTTTCATCTCTTTTTCTGAAAGAGGGAAAAGTGGTTGGGAAAGTAAGGATAGTGGTATTCGTTTTCAGTACCTCCCTACTAGTAAAAACATCGATGGGGGCATGATAAGAGCCACAAACTTTCAAGAGCAAAACGGTGTATCATGAAGGCACGTATTAATGTGAAGTGCCACAAGTAATATTAGGTGGCAGCAAGGTTTACAAAGGCTTCAAACTTAAAAGCACTCGAAGTTGCTTGTACTGCTTTTGAATATGTGAGCCCTGTTTATTTTCTTCCACTCAAGTTCAAGCTAAAGGATGACAAAGTTCAGTGCCACGTACAATTAATTTAATGAATATTCAGTGCCCCCACCCCACGTTAATACACATCTGACTGCAAAACTCAGCAGTACACATACTGCAATTAAATCCACATTGCATCTCTAGAATAAATGCCTGAAAGAGCATGTCATTTCTTAGTTCACCGGGAAAAATTCATGAGAGAGGCAGGTACACTGCAACCTCATCCCATTCCTCCTTGGTGTTGATTTCATTCACCTAGTAACCATTGTAATAAAATCCCCCAACTGTATTTCTGAATACAGTTAGTTTAAGATACTCTACAGGGAGACACACTATAAGCGTTTAGAATATGTAAGAATAATACGCATTTGTAAAAGAAACTGTCATGATTATGTTCTCACTGAAAAAATAACAAGGTGTTTGATAGAGACTTTTTCAGCTCTTCAATGAGAGGATTCAAAACGTCTTCTACTTTTGATAGCACACTTTTCTGTTTGTTTCTTAAATGAGTGATCTGAAATATTTACAACCAGACAGTACCTAATTTTAGGTTTTAAGTGCTTTAACAGCTCCATGAAATATGATCAGCAGCTGCAATACAGAACTATGGTGAATTAAACTCCTTATAAAGGGGGGCCTGTTTTTACTGAATGTTCAGTGTTCCTGAATTTACCTACTAGAAAAAACAAAAGATAATGGAAAAACATAATAAATTCTTGCACCCTTAAATTACTTAACACTTCACTAAGTCTTGAAAAGGATTATCTCCTCTCTTCTTGAATTCTGCATAAAAAGTTCCATTAGGTGAAATAAGTTTAATTTTATTATTTGAGAGTTAGAATGTGAACTTTCCAACATCCTAACTTTTCATAACAATAGTTATGGTTTTTCTACCATTCTACTTCTCTAAATTTCTGGATCATTCAACTGCAGTGTATAATTTTTTAAAAAATGAAGTACCAAGCCATACAAATATATTTTTAGACACAGCATCAGTCAGTCATTTAGAGCTTGCAACAGAGATTGAAAACATGAAACTGGACACTCTATTTCCCGTGGCTATGTAAAATTTATTTACACCCCAAATCACAATACAAGTGAAAAGGAAACTCAGAAATAGAGAGCTTATTTTTCTTTTCTTTTTTAACTCAAAGGTTTTTTTAAAAGAAAAATATATAGCAAAATGACAAACTACTCATCTGCCAATCTTCCCTCAAAAAAGAAACTTTCCCTCAAAAAAAAGCTAGTTTTTTTCAACTAGCTTCTACAAATCCTCAATAACGCAGTATCTGTATTTCTTAATAAAAATAATGATTGTTCTTGAACAATTTCTTTTTACACAAATCAGGATATTTTTAAGTTTTGAACTTGAACATATTATTTAAAATAAATATTAGCTTTGAATACATGCATAAAACTTTCATTTTGTAAAAGAGAAATTAAGTTTCTAATATTTAATAAAATACTAGTAAATAAAAATAACGAAGTAAATTTTTTATTTCAGTTTTATTTGTGAAACAACCTCTAATTATGATGGCCTTAAAATGTTGAAGCATACTATTTACAGGAAATTGACAAAGGAAAACAGGCTTTTGAAACCACATTGATTTTAGACCTTCACTTATTATGAAAGACAAAGATATACCCCTAATAATCAGAAAAAAAGAAAAGAAACAGTTTCCAGATAATCTAATTATGTTACTTTCAAAGCTGTAACTGTCAAAGGTTTAAACTTTCTTGTACAGTCATTTCTAAAAATTGGTTTTACTCTGAATGACTTACAACTTTTAATCAGGTGGAACAAGCTATTTTTATGGTTTGTAATAACAATAAAAACGGATGTACTTATATCTGCTTTTGGTATTGTTGCCATAAAAAAATAAACTCTGGTAGGCTAGCCCCACACAAAACAGTTTTGTCTCTTATTACTACTGCTACTTATTTCTTGGGATAATGTTATTTTACAAAATACACAAATGCCTTTGAATGCAGTCTCCTAAAAAGCACCATACCACGTATCAAATATTTTGTTTTAGGGTCCTCTCCCCATCCCCTTTCGTAGTTTTTGGTTCTTGGGCTATAACCTGGACAGAAATATTTTAAAGGAAAAAAGTGTGTGTGTGGTGGGTGCAATGTTTCTGTTTAAGTTCTACCCGGGAAAGGTTATCAAGTACAATTGTTGTCCCGAGGCGGTTTTTAAAAATAAAAACATAAAGAACCTAACCGAAAGAAGAAGAAGAAGAAAAAAAACAGCCATCGTCAGTGTTGAATACTGTCAGTCACGTCTGTGTAAATGAAACTTCAGAAGCTGTTAAGGGGAGTCCGCGGTTGTTAAACGCGCCTAAGACTCCCACCTAAGCCCCAAAGGAGCCCCCGCACGAAACTGACAAACGCCCGAGGGTGCAAAAAGTGGCCGCTGATGAGAAGAGCAACAAAATGCCATATTGGAGAAAGATATGCTTCGCTCCATCAGTTACGTTGATCCCAGGGTGCCAAGCCAAAAGGGGTAAGGGAGAAAGAAAACTGTTAAGTATGAGCTCTTAATGTGAAACCTAACCTGTTGGTTCTCTTAGGTATCAGATTTTGGAAGTGTCTGTAATGACAGCCAGGAAAGCAAATTAATGGCCAACGGCCCACTGGGTTTGAACACGAGACTCCTGTTACCTCCTCACAGATCAAGTACACAACACACACGCACACGGAGGTGCTCCACGTGGAACGGCTCTGAAACCAAAACACACGCCCCTTCGCTCTTCTGCACCTTGGCAGCAAGGGCCGAGGGACCTGCACCTTCGTCAACGGCCCTCAAGTTAGGATTCATGAATGATTCTGCCCGCTGGGTAGTGAAGGGCAGAGGCGCAGGGGCGAGGGCAGAGATTCTCGAGCGTCTCCAAACAACACCCTCCCCCACACACCTTCACCCAAAGCACAAACCCCGTAGCCTGCAACGGGAAGGGACAGAGAGGTGGTGGGGTGGGGGGCACCGCCGCCCCAACTAGGGAAGAGATTGACAAAAATTAAACTGCTCTCTCCAGTTTTGCCACCGCTCTGCCGAGGGACTCCGTCGGCAAATTCCCTAATAGCTCCAAGCTGTTCCGAACAACGAATACCAAGAAAGAAATATCTTTAAAGTGCTCCTAAACGAAAGTTCTGGCTGCCGTGTGGTGTAAAATGAAACAAGCACACACAGCGTCTATCTACTTCCAAAACCCGCTGAAAGACGCTAAAGCAGCGAGCCGTTTCCAGTCCCACAACCACCCCCGACCCAGAGGGCTTTGAAACGAGAGAAAACCTGCCTCCCCGGCCAGATCCCTTCGTTTGGAGATGTTATAATCCCTCCATGGCATCCGCGTCCCGAGCCAATGAACGCGACTCCTCTGACAAGGCGCCTCTAATTTCACGGACCCTGGCAAAGTGCAGGAGACATTCGGACCACGCCACATAAAAACTATTAAAGTGGGATGGCCGCAGTTTAAAAGCCCGGTTCGTGCCTGGAGATTAGAGCACAAGCACTGAACGTACGTACGCACCCAGCATCTTGAAAACCCAGGCCCCTGGGGCCCTCCACCGGACCCAGGTCAGCATCCTTGCGCCTGGCTTATCTAGGGGATCACCACAAAGTAATAAATGCCACAGGAAGGATGGAGGGGAGACCCTGGGGTGCGCACCTCTGAGAGACAGGAGCGGAGTGCAGGTACGCAGCGGCGCACCCCGTTTTGCGCCGGCTCCAGGGCGGCCCCGCAAGAGACACTCAGGCTCGGCGGGGACCCTGGGGGCGCGGGGGCGTCCTGCAGCGCAGAGCGCACCGCTGCAGTCTCAGCGGCCCGCACCCTCCAGCGGGCGGCACTCTGCCTGCGAGCTCCCGAGGGGACCCCGACGCCCACACGCTGTCTGGCCGCGCACCCTGGGTCCCCAGCACTCGGAGCCGCGCGCACTTTCCCGGGGAGAGTTTACCGGCCCCTTAAAACAACCCAGCAGGCCGGCCCCAGGACGGGGTCGGAAGAAGGGGCACTCACCTCCTGCCGCCCCGACTGCCTCGCGATCCTGAAGTTCAAGTGTCTGTCCCAACAGCGGGTCCCCGCGTCCGTATTTAGGTATTTATTCTCGTCCCTGCCAGTGTTGAAGTTTCCCCTTCACGCTGTGCCTCTGGTGAAAACAGGACATCCCCTTCGGTTACCCCCCAACAAATAGCGTACACAAGTGGGGGAGAAACGGGGCGGGGGTACAAGCTGGCTCCGAGGGGGAGGAGGAAAGGAGAGGAGCCAAAACTCTGGACTGACGACAGGAAAAAAAAAAAAAAAGTAGAAGAAAAGAAAAAGAGAGCGCGCGCCCAGCCACCGCAGTCGTCACTCCCAGCTTGTCCCAAAGCTCTGTCCCCCTCTGAAAGGGAAGAGACAACTTCACGTGGACGGGCTCGAAGTTTTGCGCGGAAGCGGGGAACGGTGGCGTGTGCGCCGCGCCGCGGGCAGCCTCGCACTTGCGCGCGGGGTTGGGGGAGGGGGACGCCGCCGCCCGCGCCCGCGGCCACTGGAGGCCGCCGGGGGCCCGAAGGCAGGCAGCAAGGGGCAGCAGAGCGCGGGGAAATGACTCCTTTTTATTCGACCTCGGATGACTGCCTGTTGTCATCGTTTGCGGTCCTGCGTGGGGACCGCTCGGGACCCTTGGCGTCCCGGGTGGCGCCGTGCTAATCTCCGAGCTCTCAACGCCGTCCCCACCCCGCCCCCACCGGCCTGGCGCCCGGCTGCTATGACCTCTCTGTGAAGGGGAGGGACCCGCGGGCAGCATTCCCCTCCGGGGACCAGGGAACCGCTGTCTGCCCCCCACCTGCTTCTATGGGGCAGCCCCGAGTCCTCTCAAACTCGGCCGCTACCGGTTCCGGGTGTAGGCCACTGCCGGCGTCCTGATGGATTTCTTTCCACTTACCCCAAGGGAGGAGACAGAAGGGACTTCGCCTACTTGCAACAACGTAAAATAAACACCAACCCACTCCACACTGCAGAGCTTTCTCTGAAGGGAGGAAATACCCTTTTCCGTGAAGATGTATGCTAGGAACAAGTAAGCAATCTGGGGATAGGCTGTGCTGGGAAGGGCCTGGGCCCCTTCCAGCGCTGGGCGCAGGTATAGGCATCCCTCCCAGACGCTCAAAGGTCAGACAGCAACGACTGACTTCCAAGGCAGCGTCAGAGCTTCCCCAGGCACATTGCTGAAGTGACATTTCATGCCTAAGCCTTCTGCGCATGCATCATGTACCCACATAGGATTGCACACGTGTGGATCCCAACCAGAGGCTGAAGCAAAGTAGACAATAAACAATACATAAATTTTGCATCTATTTAATCACCTCTTCCTAAAGCTTATTGTCTATTTCAGGAGCATCTTCTTTGTCACATCAATTATAAATGTTTTAATTTACTGAGCTTCAGTTCTTACACGGGTCACCTATGGTACATGTGAATTCATTTAATTTCACAGCAACTCCGCGGTAGTTATTTAAACCCATATAAGAGCTAAGTAAACTGAGGCCCAATGAAACCTAAGTAGCTTTCCCAAAGACAAACCCAGTGGTCTCTAACCACAAAGCCTATGATTCCACAAGCAGCTCCCCCACACTGCCTTAGATGTGGCCTAAGAGATTACAAGTTAACTAGTATAAATTACTCCCATTCAAAGAAAATTTAGTTGTAATATATTGTTGACTAAATTATATTCTGTAAAAAGTTCAGAAAAAGATTTCCCCCTCTACTTCAGTTTGGTCTTCTGCAACTGATATGAACACTGTCAAGTTCAAAAGCAAAAACCTGAATAGTTGTAGTTACAATTTATGTTTTAATTACTGGGTCATTATCTAGTTATTAACAAGCACTGGAAAAGGTAAGGCTGTAAATTTAAAATGATAAAGGCATTCATTGCCCCTCTCACCACTCACTGGGTGTTCTTTCTTGCAGATGAATGGGGGGAGTGGGGGTGGAGGGGGGTTTAGGCATTTGCCAGGCATAATGTTCCTTTTTCTGGTTCTCAAGCAAGAAAGGGTCCTGGTGGTGGGTTTGGCACAAAGAGGATTTGGAGAAAACTAGAGAACATTCTGGTCTGAGGAGAATGCCATTTAATATGCACTTAAGGAAATCTCAATGGGTAGATTTGCATAACTTTGTAGATCTTATTTTCCCCTAGTTTACAGGAGAGAAAGCTAAGGCCTCCTAATTTTTAGCAACTTCCTAATAAATGACAGACCTAAGATTCAAACCAGCCTCCGTGTCACCCCAAAGACCACTCCTAGCCACTGTGATATATTAGTAGTCAGAAAATTAGTAATTATTTTTAGTACTGTGTATATGCAAACTATGCAGTTTAAAGGTTTTGTGAATCATTCAGTGGCTATAGCAAATATTATGTAAAAATTAAGCACAATGCTTAATTTAATAGTCTCCTCGTAAGGCCACAGAATTTTGAATTTCATTTTGGCATAGAATATTATGTTTTAATTTGACCTATAAATAAAGGTGGGAAGATGCATAATTTGGATAAAATAGAAATTCATACTTTAGTACATACAGATTATTGTTCACACAAATATAGTAGTTTAGAATGTTTCTTCACTCCGTCTAATATCAGATTTTCGGCAATACTGACCTTGCTTTTAAATTGCTTTGCTCCCACATAATTTTTTATACATCTACATAGTATATTCACAGAAGTTATCTGAAACCCCCAGAATTATAGCAGAGTATTAGTTATTCAACTTCTTATTATTAGCTTCTAATCCATCTAGTCTTAAATATACATATATTACATGGATTCCATTAAGAGGAACATAAAAGTCACATTTTTCAGTTCACATGAGGAATAAGAAGTTGAACATAGGAAACAAAGAATTGTAAGGCAAAAGTGTATCGTTTGTTTAAAAAGGGCACTATTTCCAGGATTTCTATCAAATACCACTTTTATAATTATTGCCATATCACCTGTAATATTATTCATTTAATATTTTTCTTTAAATAAGCTATTAAACATGTTTATCTGATAAAGGAAACTTTTTATCATCACCATAAATGGAAAACCAATATAATTAGCCATGAATAGAAAATGATGTTGCTAATGAATCTACATTGTGGAAATAAAAATCATTTATTCTGTAAAACCTAAACTTATCTCACACACCAGTTTGAGAGACAATAGTTTAAAGAATTACATTTGTATGTCCCTCAGGCTCTCTAAAACATATTTTCAAGACTTTCGTTTCCATGACTATAGAGAAATGTTGAGTCTAAGATGCTTTTAGGTATTACTTTTAAATCCTGTTATTCTTTTTTATTGTTTTTTAATTTTCTTGACTAAAATATACCTTGAAGCACCTGAAGTTGAAGTGTCTTTTTAAAATTAATTTATTTTTTATTGTTTTTCTTACTGCCTTACCTATGGTAAAATTCAAATAATTCATAAGCATACGATTAAAAACCAAATTCCTCTCCTGAAAGACTATACCAGCTACCCATTACTCTCACTCTCATCTCCATATCCTCCTCAACACACACTTCATCTTAGGCCTTGACCACTGAAAAAGGAACTTTGTAACTTGTAATGTCATGAAGTGGCAGCATCTATTGGCCCCGTTTGGTACTGCAACAAAGTTCTACAAGGCAATGAGGAGAGGAGAAAGCAGATCAATGGGAGAAGCTCAAAGGGCCTGAAAGAACACGTAGGGAAATTCTGAAGACTGAAATCTGCTGGAAAATTCTGGAAATGACTCAGAAACACTAGCAGGCCCTACAGGACACAAATCAGGCCATCAGAATATCCATAAATGTGACTTTATAGTGAAAATCAGTGGAAATAGAAGATTCACTTATTAGCATTCCCTTAACCTCTCCGGGGCAGGGTGCTTCTTCATTTGTCATCTACTATTTGTTTATTCTTCAAGGGTGCATGGCACTGTTTTGGCATTGGGTTTTATATAAGTCAAATTAAACAAACAAAGCCCTCTAGGGGGTCATAATCCAAAACATAATTTCTATTTTAATTTCATTTTAAAGCAACCTTAAGAGAAAACAATTCCATCACTTTAGTAAGAATAAAACTTGGGGGGGGGGACAAAAACAGAAAAGAAAAAAGTATAAGACACTACATTCACTGAAAAAGAAAACAGAAGATTGGATGTTTGTAGAAATAATACCAAAATAGACCTCTTGAATTACATTATCTATTGGTATACCTTTGAACTCCAGCTGGAAGTGTACACAATTCTTTAAAAATAAAGCCATTCAATTGTTTCTTAGTAAATTCTAAGCCAAACCCTTTGAGCTTTAGGAGAATGGCCTTTTAGAGGCCAGCATCAATACAAACTAGATTTAATGCTGTTTTATTGGACTCCTTACCAATGACAAAACAAATATGGATACAGCATGATTGCCCAGGACTAAAGTGTTGTGCTGCTGATCTTCTAAAATCTGTAAATAAACACCCTTTCCGGATAATTCTGTGCAAACAGATCAAGCTTAAAAAGGTTTTTAGTGGTTTGTGAAAGTGAAGAAATTAGATCTTTAGGGGACCTGTTGGGTCATTCTCTTCTGAGGGGCTCTCTGCTCCACTTCCTCATTCTTGGCAGAGCCTCTAAAGAAAAGGAAATACACACTCTCCAGGAGACGGCTTCGTTATATTCACTTTCAAATTCTCTCTTGAATTTTTTCCCCCAAGTTAAATCCTTTTCATACCATATTATGCAATTGTGCTCTAACGCTCATGTTTACACCCAACCTTCAGATGTTTATAAACAGATATCATGCCCACTTTTAGTCATCTGTTAGCCACGTTAAACAAATGTAAGGCCTTTTAATCTTGTTTCAAGATTAAAAGTATCTCCAAGCCCTTAATCATTCTTATTGCTTGTCTCTGAACTATTCCCGGTTTCCTAGACGTTCATTTTTGTTTAGAGGTAGCCCATGTTGAATGCATTGTTCCAGGTGTGGACTCATTAGCATATGAGAAGGAGTCCCTTTTTTTTCTTCTGTGGCACTCGGTTTTGGCTTCACTGAAAATTCTCACCAACTCATGCTGCTTTCATATTCTAACAAACTTACATGTAATTCTTTTCTCTATTTTCACTTCACATAGTGTTTCTTTTGGAATGCTGTAACAATCCTGATTTCTGAAGTACTTTGAATGCCCAGTTTTCAATGATTATAACAGTCAGAATATGGACAATAGCACTTTGCTGTCCTTTTGATTTCCTTGCCTTGTCACCACTACCTACATTTCAACATTGGAAAGATCTAATTCATCTTTTTTTTTAAATATACAGTAATACCTTGGTTTGCAAGCATAATTCATTCCAGAAACAAACTACTGGTAGTGCAAGACATCGCTCGTTTACCACATTAAAATGTATTAAAAATGTTTGCTCGTCTTGTGGAACACTCACAAACCACGTTACTCTCAATCCAAGGTTTTACCATATATACAGTTCGTCATTGTATATCCTTATGATGTTTATCTGCTTACAAAAAAAATAATGTTGATTATAACTCAAAAGCCCCCAAATGCATGATTCCATGATTGGCAGAAGAAGGGATTTTACTTTATGGAAGGCAAATAAATTGATTTGACAATTTTAAAGAGACACATTTGGCACGATTAACTCCAGTATCCACTTATTTTATAAAATCTCAAAGTTAGGAAGATGGTTAAATTGCAACAGTCCATTTAGACTGAATGTTTTTTAATGGAAATTTTATATCACTGAAAACTGTAGTGAATGTTTGATGTCCATTCTATCCACTAGATTTCAGAGCACATTTAGAAACAATTTCTTTATGCAATGTTTTTCAATTGTAAGTATATGCTCCCAGCACCCCCTTCAACATGCGTTAACATGACTTTCCTGTTCTCCTAATTTCTTTATTCT